CCCTGCTCACAAGCAGACGTTCTCTATAGAGTGTGACAGCCATCGGTGGAGGGAATGACCTCACTTGTATGTGGAAGGGAAAGAAACGGAAGCCACAGAAACAGAGAGCAGGCGGTGGCTGCTGGGCGGGGCCGGGGCATGGGGGAGGGGATGATGGAGGCCCGAAGTGCACACCTGCAGGGGTAAGAATCAGTTTTGGGATCCAAGGCACAGCCTGCGGCCTGGTCAGCAATGCTGCGCTGTACATGTGAATACACGTGAGAACAGACGGTAACTGCGAGGTGACACAGGTGACCAGCACCTCACTCTGGGGGTCATTTTGATATGGACGATTTGAACTGTTGGGAGGTGAACAGCCGCTTTAGGTGCTGGCTGCAGGGTGAAGACCATGCTCATGCACCGGACTCGGTCCTTCACGGTCATTTCTCCTGAGAACTGGCGTGTGTGCAGGCCCAGGGGTTGGGGTGGGGATGGAGGCGGGCTGCAAGTGTGACAGCGCCCCTGGGAGCAAGCTGGTGTTCTGCTCGCTCTCTATCTGGGAGGCTGAGGCCCATGGGTGGGCCTGGAGGCCAGGCCAGGGCGTGAGCAAGTGCTCATCCAGGGGACACCGGGCAGAGTGCCTGTTAAAGCTCCCAGTCGCGGTCCTGCAGTAAGAAAGACATTCGGCAAACATGAGACAGGGCTGGGAAAATGATGAAGAGAAGCCCACCTTGCTCATATGCACACACATAGATGCACACAGACATACGAAGCTCTGTGTCCTGCGATGCCACGTGCTCTTTCCCGAGAAGACCAGTGCCCCTGACACGCTGTAACCAGGAGCGTCTGGCATGTGGGGCTGTGGCTGCACCTGATCGCCTCTGGAAGAGATGGTCTAAGTGCCGCGGGTGCTGGGCACAGAAGGGGAACCAGATAGAAGTTCAGAACGACAAACAGGCACACTCTCCGAGTTTATCGGAGTGTTAGGTGCATGATAATGAGCAACTCACACAAAGAACACAGGAAGAAGAAAGAATGTGCTCTGGGAATCCTCATTGTAAGAATCTTTAAAATGTGCTTGTTTGGCTTATAAGGGGGAAATGGGGTCATGTCCTGGACTGGCCAGATAACTGCTGACCAGGGCCCAAGTCTCACACACAGTCCTGATTTATGTCCACCTGGGCCTCAATTCAGTCGTTCACAACATGAGACTAACAATTACCACTCTTTTCTTTGCAATAATGCTTCGAGAATAATCGAAACACCAAACAGAACACATTCTAAGCATCCTCGAAGGAGGAAAGGTTAAGGAATTATTAACCCATGAAAACAAAACTAAGAAATACCGATGCCTGCTCTCCTACCTGCAGGAGGGCTGAGCCGTTTCTGAACTTCCCGGAGCACATCGAAGAGAAAGCAGCGCCCCCCGCAGGATGCGGGGACCAAAGCTCCTCCTTTAGGACAACGTGCTCTGCGCCCACTGACGAGCACAAGAGACTGTGTGGGATGCAAGGCAGGGACCGGAGAAATGCCGGGCCACAGGGAGAGGGCCCACTGAGTTATGCCCGGGCCTGAGCGTAGGCATCTGCCGGGGTCCCCGGGGAAGGGAGAGGGCCTGGGGAAAGCCGTGTGCTATTTCTGAGCATGTTTCGGAGTAAAGCCAAAAACACGAGACAAGACAAGAATTTCTAAAATCAACAACAACTTGGCTTCTTCTATGTCCCCGGCTATAGTGCTGTGACACTCAGGGGGCGATGCCACTGAGATGGGAAGTTTCTTGCTCAGGGACTATGAAACTTTCCTTAACTTAACTTAGCTCCAGTGCCATGGAAATGCGTCCTGAAACACACCCACACCCACATACACACACATACACATTCATAGTCACACACATGTGCACATTCACACACACGCACACATTCTCATACAATGTGCACACACATGTGCACATTCACACATGCACACACGTTCACACACATGCACATTCACACACACATGCATGTACACATCCACACGTATGCATGGTGTGCATTCACACATGTGCACACAATGCATCCTCACACAATGTGCACGCACGTGCATATCCACGCACATGCACATTCTCACATATGCACACACATGAGCATATTCTCTCACACAAATGTGCACACACTCTCACACACATGCGCACACACATGTGCACACCACACACACTTTCCCTGCTGCAAAACTGAGTCCACCTTAGACATGAGCAGGAGTGCAGTAGGAAACGGGTTTCATCTACCCTCTCAGTGTTTGCAGCTAGACCCTCTTGGACACACAGGGAGCTGTGTGTGTAAATAATTCCTTAGCACTAAATTAGGTTTTAAATTATTAGGAGAGGCCACACAGGGAAACAAACCTGAGACAGCCCACCATTCAGCTCTCCAAGCAACATAAGATGGAGGAGACCCCTGTAATCCTACCTGGTACAATTTAAGTTACTCTTGGTCATTGAAAATCATATCAAGCCACAATTTCATGACAAAAAGATAAACTGCCACATGGAAGCTCCGTGAAGCCCGAGGTCCCTGCCACGGAAATCGCCTAGAGAAACGGCCGAGCCCCGTCCAGCGCTCTTACCAAAGAGACTGGTTGCCTTTTGCACCAGACCCACGCCTTCTGGTACCCAGAAGGATGTTCCTGCTCATCAGACTCCATCCTAACTACCCACGGGGTAAATGACCTCATTCCAGCACAGGCTGCCCCTGTCCACCGGGTCAGAGCCAAAGCACAAAGGGCCGGGACTGAAAGGCAATGGGAAGAGGAGGGAGGGGAGAGGGCTGGGTGGGAAGGAGCGAGGAGGAGGGCAGGCAGAACCCGGGAGAACACGTTCTCCGTCCACGAGCTACAGGTTCAGGTTCGGAGAGGCTGCTGACCTCCCTCTCAGCGCGCGAGCTGCTCACCTGGGCCACTTGGCTTCCACGCGGCTGCCCGTTTCTCTTCAGCATAAAAGGGGGACTGCTGAGCTGCTCAGCACAGCTCGCCACATGCCTTCACCCCATACCTTCACATGTGCTTGCAAGTTGCAAAAGAGCGTGCAACTAGCATGAAGTATGACAGGACTTTCTAAACCCAGTGCAATCCAAATGCGGAAAAATGACTAGTTCTATGGAAGAGGTGCACGCGGCCATGCAGTTTTAGCCGCATCACTGCACTGGGCTCCCTGTCCAACGTCCCAAGGTAATCGCAGGAGGACGTGCACACCGTGCACTTTCCGAGGGGCAGGCGCGTCTGTGCCGTGGACATACAGAAGCACCCCACGCGGCCGAGCGGGGAACAGGATGCTGATTGCCCCACATCGGAAAACAGGGGTGGCTTCTCGGAGCAAACTGCGACTGGGTGCGCACGGAATTCCAGACCCAGAGGCTCAGACCCCTGTGACGGCACACTGTGGGTTAGCTTGTTGCTTAGTGCGCTGTGTGCAAGGGCCATCGTCGCTTGCATGTACAAAGGCCTTTTCTGCACACGAGGCTGTGAACTAAATGTTTACTTTCAAGTGGGAAACGGAAGTGATGCTTTCCACCCGCCCACCAGTGTGGCCCTCCTGGTCCCTGGTCCCGGCCCCCAGAGCCCCGGAGCCCCTGAGCCCGTCTCCACAGCAGGTCAGGGCTTGCAGCTCGTCTCTGCTCTGTGGACCTGGCCTCAGGGGCACTGCCCAGCAGGGACGCACCAGGACCCCAGCCCCACCAGCACGCCCTGCCCCACATGCTGGCCGTCCCACCCCGGGCAGATGGACACCCCCCGATAACTGTGTGGGGTTCCAGAACACTTACGTGTGCCCACGGGACCATACAGCCAAGGCTCTTACCCCACGTGCCCCAGGTTGGTCTGGAGACTAGACACAGAGCCCACCCGTGACTCCGCCCGGGACCCGGGAGCCAGCTGCCACGCACGGCCCGTGACACTGTCAGCGAACACTGAGCGGCCGGGAGGCACGCAGACGGCATGAACGGCACCGGGAGGATCAGAACACTCCGCTGCTGGGCCCAGCTGGGTCACGTTGCTTCACTCAGGTTCCCTGTGAAGCAGACAACCGCCCACCCTTGTACCTCGTGGCTCTCATCACAGTGGCCCCATCGCCTGTGCAGAGGCACCGCCTCCCTGCACCACTGCACCTGCTTCTGACTGAAAGGTGTGAGAGGAGGCGACCAAACAGTCCTTAATCGGAGCAGCACTAAGTCAGATGGCGAGAGGACACGCGCAGGAGAAGCAGTCTACGTGACGGCAGCACTGGAAATCTGCACAGCAGGCCCGGCCTGGAGACCAGCACACAGCAGCCTGTGTAAGCTCCTGCCCAGTCAACACGCAGGCGCCCATCGCTGCCAGCGCCCCCGGACCGCGTGCGGTGTGACACCTCCCAGAGGCTCACCCCGCCCCGTGAGGCGGCTCCCTCCAAAGGCTCCGGGTCCGAGCCCTGCCACCCTTCAGCCCGCGTGTGAGAACCCTTCAGTAAAGAAACAACCCCTGCTTTATGCATTTCCTGCTCTATGGTCAAGTTTCTTTATTTAAAATATAAACTACGTGATTATCCACTGCCTTACTGTGAATGACATTAAGCTATTAGTTAAAGTAAAATCTCCCGCCAGAAGGAAGGTTTTCTGCTACTAAGAGAGTAATCTGCGTTCACATGAGCCAACCCAGAACAAGCGCGTTGGGGTGATGGCACCTTCGGGTAGTGCACAGCCCGCATGGACACCCCGGAATGGGCGCCACACGCAGAAATTTGTGGCCCCTGGCAGTCACCCCCACAGCTGATGACCACGTTTCACATGAGACCCCACAGTCTCCATTTGGCACCAGATCGCTTCTGTATGAATCTGGCTGCTGCATATTTTCATTTCTTTGAAACAAAGAGTAAGAAACCCATTTTTAATTGTTCTTAGAAGAATGTAAGAAAACCTACTTTTCACATAACTTAACTTTAACACGTTTAGCTGAGAATACATGAATCCGGTGAAGTGCCATCTTTAAGAGCCTTTAACAAGGAATTACATACTTACGCCATGATGCCTGAGAGGTGAAACATTTCGGCTGTGATATAGGACAAGTAACTGTACAGGAAGACAAAGAGTGGCTCGATCACCCGTATGTTGTGTGTGAACCGCGTGGTAAATGCCGCTATGAATCCCAGGAAGATGCCGATCAACATGCCGCCGATGCCCACAACAAAGAAGTTGGCAATCCCGGCAAACACGTCAACAGTCTCAATGGTCTTCATCTGGCAGAAGGACTTGAACAGGTTGTACAGGACCTGTGGGGAGGGAGCGCATGGTCATGGTCAGCTCTTCCAGCCTCCCTCCCTCTTACCTCCCCTTACCCCCCCCCACCTCCCCCCCCCACATGCGCCTGCCTCTCAGAGGACGTGCCTCCTGGGCACCCAAGCGGTGGCCGTGGCAGTTCCAATGCATTTGCTTATTTAAATCATATTCAATAGCTTTAAACCAAAGGCTTTGATAACAGCATGTTGTCAGGAAAACTCTTTCTAAAAGTAAGTGAGAAGAGAATTCAAAATTATTGCACAACTTACTCCAAAAACATCAATGTTTGGATGCCACTTGGAAGCTCCTTGAATGCTTGGTTGCCATCTGGCACACCCTGCCTGTGCCACTGATGCCTGACAGGGGGCCGTGAATCAGTGACCTTCCAAGGCCCTGTCGGGGGTAACGCCCTGGAAGGACCTGTCCTCTAGTGCTGGTGCCCTACCCGAGGGCACCTTCCACCCAGGCCCCCGAGGCCCTCTGCCTAGCCCCCCCCCAGCCCCCCACACAGGCACGTGCTTGGTACAATGTGAGACCCAAAGGAGTCTTCTCAAGAAGCAGCAACCTGTGTGCATGTGGGTGCATATGTGTGAGTGTGCATGTGTGTGCATGTGTGAGTGTGTATGTGTGGGTGCATACACGTGCTACAACTTCACACATATTTTGTGCCTCTAACGTGACAAGAGAACACTGTTGCTTGGTTTCTGAGAAATCTGCAGTCTTTACATAGTGTTAGTTTAATACGCTTCAACAATGCCAGGCACTTCCTGTCCGCTGGCAACATGCCTTCAACACATGGCCGAGGGCCTCTGAGCTGAAGCGAGAAGGGACAGCTGACCCACCACTTCCCCCCAGAACCAGCCACGGAAACGCAAGGGAAGCAGGTGCCCTGTTCCCCTGACTGAGATTGACAGGCAGAACCCCAGGAAAGCCGGCTGATGGGACCTGTGGGCACACAGGCCTGTTCGAGGACAGGCCATGCCAGCTCTCACTTGGGTTGAGAAACTCAAATTCACCCCCAATCACACAAAATGCCAGAGGCGACCCCAGAGCCCAGGGCGCCGGGCCTGCCGGGCGAGTCTTACCAGGTCACCCACGGGGGAGCCGACCAGAGTGTGTCCTAGTGAAAACCCATCTCGCCACCTCCTCCCACCGAGGCCCTTAGAGCTACGCGTTGCAGGTGTGGGGTAACGGCTTCCCCTTGTCCACTGGGCCATACACCCGGTAGGCGAGGGCCACGCCTCATCATGATTTACTTCATGTGCCCAGTAGATGACGATAAACGCCTGCTGGCCTGAGACAACAGCAGAGGCTCATGACTTAGCCGGCAGGGCGTCCCTCCTCCCGGTGCTGGTGTGACACCAGGAGCACGGGGCCTGGCAGTCAGGAGGCCCGGGCAAGAGAGGAACAGCAGCTCCCTCGCCCGCCGAGGGCTGAAACATCTTGCCGGCGTCATCACTCCACGCAGCAGCTGCTTCCTACTTGCAACCGAGGCCTCTGCGCACCTCGGGTTTCATCAGCTAACGAGCCACCTGCTTCCTGAGAGCGGCTCAGGGAGGTGCTATTTAAACCCCTTCCCTCTGGCAGCCAAGGCCAAAGGTGAAGGTCACTCGCTGCCCGCGGAGAGACAGGCTGCCCAGCCGCCCTCTCCGCGGGCAGCCCCCAGCCACTCAGGCACTCAGCTCTGCCGCCCGCCTCCAGCCGCACCAGGACCCCAGTGCCTCACTCTAATGCCCCAGCACCACGAGACTCACTTATCCCATCTTGCACGCTCAAGGTTAAAATCCTGGACCGTGGCTTGGGGAAGGCGCCATACACCTGGCGCACTTCTCTTGTCAATCCGCTTTCCCAACGCCTCCGTCTGGGAGCGGTCCCATCGCTGCTGCACAAAACTCACCTCCTCACTCATTGTGTGTGTTAATCCTCACAGGAGGATACCTTTCCCGTTGCTTTTCAGAGAGAGTGGAAGGGAGGGAGGGGGCGGGGGAGAGAGAGAAACACCAATGGGAGAGAGACACATTGACTGGTTGCCTCTCAAAGCTGCTCCCACCAGGGCCAGGGAGCCACCTGCAACTAACCAGGTACGTGTCCTTGACTGGGAATTGAACCTGCGGCCCTTCGATGCATGGTCTGGCACTCTGACCACTGAGTCACACTGGCCAGGACCATACACACCATGCTTACTCATCTGGGGTTTCCATCCTGCGTTTTTTGTTGTTGTTGTTGTTGTATTCTTTTGTAGAAACTCAGCTCCTAAATCTAGGAAAAGGGTACCTGTCTTCCCTGGCCCAGCTGGAGCTGCTCTTCCTCCCAGAGCGGCCTGGCCTCCCACTGCCCTGCCAACCCCTCTCTGCCTCCTGCAGCTGGAGGACTCCCAGCCACCCAGGGCCTGCAGGGAGGCCACGCTGTGCTGCAGGTGCTGCCTCTGAGGTGCCTCAGCTCTCCAACAGAACTACAAGCCCCTGGTGCACAGAGTCCGCGTCCCTTCCCCTCCCTGTCTCTTGACCCCCGCCCCGCCCCTCGCCGCCCACTGGTGAGGCCCAGCACGAGTTTCTAAGGAGCAGCAGGCACACAGTCATGCTGTTTCCCCGAGCGTTTTCCTGACAGCTCCATCCCTCAGAGCTACCAGAGCTACGTCCTGCTTCTCAGGTTCCTGAGGTTTTGCAAAGGGCAGAGCTGGGCACAGGCTCGCTCCTCCCGTCAGCTGCCAGGGCAGGGCTGCAGGGAACATCTTAGGTAGCAGCGTTACCTTGGCAACCAGAAAGCTTTCCATAACCTCCCACCTGCTTTACACTGAACTTGATACCTACTGATCAGAACAAGATAAAATTCTTCTAGTTACAACTGACCACAACCCAGTGACTTCATTCCAGTTAAGTCCTGTAACCTCACTGCAGGGAATCTACACAGCAAGTGCTTCTGGTGTTAGAGTTTGTATCTGAATCATGTGTGCTCTGCCCGCGGGCGCGGCTGGCCTGTGGCTGGTCTGTGCAGAGGTCACCCCACAGGTGAGGGTATTTTTAGCCTGAAATGCCAGGGGCACCCTTGCCAACTTCCGTAACGGGCTAATTTGACAGCTGCGTGCTTCACAGTCATTCTCTCACAATTATGTTTCTAAAACACTTATATTACTAACATCACAAATTATCTATTTTGATGGCAGATTAAAAATGTTCAATAATGCAGTGAAACCGTGATGCAAAGATGCAAATGATTCAGAGTCCTTTCTCAGACCCTTCTGTCCCAGAAAACAGCTTTTAGGTCACTTTTTCTGATGTGAAACACAAAGAATAATAATTTTTGGATGAGGAATTTTAAATCTATTCTGCCATTTGCAAAAAGCAAAGTAAGGTGTCAATTGGTCACCACATTCCCTCCAGCTTCCTGAGGCGACATCCACTGCACACCCAGCTCTTCTGGGCCATGCTGGCTATTGCAGGTTGAAGAATTTTAAGTCTTCTTGGAAAATGTATTAGAATATTAGGCTGCATTAACATGTTCTAGAAATGATATTGGAAATTACCATGTAATAAGCTAAGCCATTTGACTATGAACTACTGTGGAAATAGCAAGACTTCTCAAATAACTGGGCACCTTAGCAATCTTTGCCTAATAAAAGAGATTTTAAATGTTTTCCTAAAATATTAATTATATGGGAAAGCACAAAGCTCACCTTTATTTTTCTGACTGTCATTTCTCCAGTTAATTCCACTCACTATCCAATCCACTATCACCCTAGGCCAGGGGTGGGGAACCTTTCCCTGCCACAGGCCATTTGGATATTTATAACATCATTCACAGGCCATACAAAATTATCAGCTTAAAAATGAGCTGCTCTATTTGTTCAAACACTTAATTAACTCTCCCCTAATGCCTTGGCAGGGCCAGGCCACATGATGCTGCAGGCCTTACGCGCAGGCTGGATTTCCCCACTCCTGCCCTAGGCAAGAACACAGAGTTTGAGTGCAGTCATATATGATCAATTTCTCTTTGCTTTGAGACATTTTTGGGTAGGTTTTCTACCCTTCAACTCTTCTAGCTCAGTATTTAATTTACCATGCCTTGGGGACCCACAATCTCACTTACCCTCCAGACTACATTTAAACATGAAATCTCCGCACTTCTAGTTGCAACTCAGAGTGATTCATCATTTTCACTGTATGCAGCATGGTCTGTATATTTTTTTAAATGATCTCCAATGTGAAGGAGAATTTTAAATTTCATTTTTATTTATTTATTTTTAAAAATTGATTCAAAGAGAGGAAGGGAGAGGGAGAGAGATAGAAACATCCATGTGACAGTGAAACATCGATTGGCTGCCTTCTGCATACCCCCCACCAAGGATGAAGCCTGAAGCCCGGGCATGTGCCCTGACCGGGAATCGAACCAGCAACCTTTCAGTGGATGGGACGATGCCCAAACAACCGAGCCACAACGGCCACGGCATGGTCCGTATTTTTAGATCTCTGTCTGTTCCATGAGTTCCTTACACCTCTCCTAGAGATAAGACTAGATGATTGAGTCAAAAAACCTTCCAGAAAACATGTCCCCTTTATATTTGAAGGTGCCTGACTAAGAGACAGAATCATAATTCTTATACCTGTTTTCTAATTCACTCCGCTGTTCAACCAGTTCAGTGAAATAAATATCTCATTCTTCAGCAATAGGCAGGCACAGCGCTGGGCATGCCCTCTTATTGTGCAGGCGTGGACCTAAGGGGCAGCCCAGGGCACACAACCCACCGAGGAAGGCGCTTTCGGGTGAAACCGTAACTTACACCCTGACTCACAGGCCTTGGCCTTGGGGCCGCCGGCCCGTCCTCTGCCCTGGCCCTGCTTCCAGTGCTGGTCCGGCAGCAGCTTGCCCGTCCATAGGGCCACGTCCGGCGGCTCTGTGCCTCCGAGAGGAAGCCCAGGACATGCCTCTGGAAGGCTGGGCCTTCATACACTGAGACCTGGTCCCTGAGAAACTCGAAGGAGGACCACGGAGGCATCTGAGGGAGGGACCTGAGAGCGGGGCCAAGGCTCCCGCTTCTGAGCCTGGCCGACCGCTACCTGTCCTAGAAGGAAGCGGCAACATGGGTGAGGCCTCTGTAGTTCCCTTTACACTCAGTAGGACCGGGAGCCCCACACTGAACTGCCCACGTCTCCCTCAACCAGGGAAAGATGTATCTGACCAAACACAACTCACACATGGACTCGGCGCCTTCAGAAACTAGAAGAGTTATAAAATCTCTTCCTTGTGATGGCTGTTTCCCGCTACAGTCTAAGATGGTGAGTTAATGACTGGCTGCTGTTAATGAGCAATGGAGTGAAGGAGGTAGGCTGTTCCCGGAGCTCACTTGGCTGTCTAAAAGCCTCTTGGCAGCTATTCTGAACCTGGGTTTCCTTATCAAATTTATTTTCTAAAACATAATATCCACATGGAGTTAACGGACATCCTTCAAGATGATGTTCTGTCCAGGTCAGGGGTCTGCATACAGACTGCCAGAGGGGGATGCTGGCTCTCCCTGTCAATTTATGCTAACTTTTAAATGATTCAGCGATAACATTTTAATAACAGGAATTAATGGGGGGGTTATATAAATTACTTAAGTTATTTAGACACACGTTACTTAATAAGCTTTATCTCAACTTTATTATTTGCAAAATGGGGAGAATACCTATTTATAGGTTGTCATGAAGCCCTGAGCCCAAGGTGCGCATGCACAGGTCAGTGACGCCCATGCCTCTTGCCATTCCCGCCGTGCCTGCCCCGGACACGGCTCCGGGACACAGCACCCCCTCACCAGCCGAGCCCTCTGAGCGGCTCCGCAGGGGGTGGCAGTACCTGTGGCTGACACAGGACCCTAACTGCCTCTGCCTCTGCCTCTAACTATGTGCCAATTAATAAGAATTAAAAATAATTTGCATTTCCTGAATAAGTACCCACTAGTGGGAAAATGGTGAAGCCCAGAACAATGCTGGCTGAGTGCCAACCAGAAGTGAGCTGTGTGCTGAGCTTTGCCCACGTGACAGACTAAAGGACCTCCAGAGGGGGGCCACTCCATGGGCATCGGCTGCCCGCCGGCCCTGCCCCCAATGCAGCTGCCTCCCGCAGGCTCGCGGCTGCCCAGGTGACCACGCTGGGAGCTGGGAGGGCCGGCTCCTCGGAGCTGCTCCTGGGACCACGCATTGGCATGCCCAGGGCAGACACAGAGCAGGTGCGCTGTGGACTGGCAAACAGATACTTGGCAGTAAATAAATTCTTAGTAAGAATTTCAAGACAGACAGCAGAGCATTCGGCCCGAGAGGCTGGGCAGCACAGGTGCCACTCCGCGCGGGGCTTACCACTGTCACCGCGTCGTTCAGCAGGGACTCCCCGAAGACCAGGATGTAGAGCTGCTCGTTGACGTGAATGTTCTCGAAGACAGCGAGCACGGCCACAGGGTCCACGGCGGAGATCAGGCTGCCGAAGAGCAGGTTCTGCAGCAAAGTGATGTCGCTCAGGCCGAAGGCTTCAATCTGGCAGATGCCGAACAAGGACACGCCGATGCCGATGGAGTTCCACAGCGTGCCCACCACGGCGTACCAGAAGATGGTGCCGATGTTCTCGAAGAATGGGCGGGTGGGCATGAAGTAGCCCGCGTCCAGCACGATGGGGGGCAGGAGGTACAGGAAGAACACGTCTGTCTTCATGGCGGGAGGCGACTTCTCGTCGACACCAAAGATAATGCCCCCGAGCAGAAGGCCGACCATGATGAGGAGGCAGCTCTCGGGCACGATTGTGGGCAGCTTGTGGTAGAGGTGGAAGCCTGTTCCAAAGCAAACGGAAACATGGGCGTGGTCAGGCAGGAGCAGGGAGGAGACAGGTCGGTTCTCTGACGGAACCAATGGGCCTATTTCAACATCCCCAGGTGGGCCCTGGCGGTTTGGCTCATGGCTAGAGAGTGAGCAGAAGGCAACCAATCGATGTGTCTCTCTCACATCAATGTTTCTTTCTCTCTCTCTCCCCCCTCTCTTCCGCTCTCTTTAAACGTCAATGGAAAAATATCCTCAGGTGAGGATTAACAACAACAATCTCCCAGGTCAGTACAATTGGCTATGGACTGGCTTTCTCAATTACGATGTAAAGGTCTGATGCTCTCCTTAAAGCTATTCACCAAGTACTTTCAGGTACAACTTTAAATTTAAATCAGAGGTAGGTCGCTATAGGTACACAATATACAGTACCATTTTGTCTAAATTCCGATTGTTTTCTTAAATAAGACAATGCAATTTTATATTTGGGACAACAGTGTGATTCCCAACACATTTTCTGATGCAACCTTGTCGACCCTTTTTATATGTAAGTGGGAGTGGAGGTTCAAAGAGGCCCCACGCGTCGAGGCCGCACGCCAGCTGCCGGACGCCTCCTGCCGCTCTGCACGGGAAGAGGCGCAGCTTCCTCCTGTGCGCAGCTTCCGGCTCTGTCGTTCCGGTGCGGACCGTGTGTCCTCGTCCTGGCGGCTGCTCCTGCAGAGCCAACCCAGCCAGGCGCCCAAGGGGCAGGGTAACCGCTGTGGGAGGATGTGAACTCCAAACTCGCACGGTCTCCAGTCTCACAGAACGGATGTGCCTCCCGCCGATGAAGGCCCAGCCAAGTGCCCTGAGCAGAGCCCGGGGGAGGGGGGGCTGCCCAGAGCACCGGAGGCGGCACCTGGCGGGGAGGGTGCTGACCTCCGAGAGAGGGACGAGGCATCAGGGAGTGCAGATGTGGGAAAGACACTGTCTCCTAACCGGGGGGCCAGTGGGGCTGCAACCGGGGGTGTGTGTGAGGGCGAGGCCCGCGCAGGAGGGGCACAGGGGCCCCTGGGGAGTGACTGCACGTGAGAGGGTCCCTGAGGGCTTGGCGAGGACACCTCCTGTCTGTAAGGCCTCAGGCCATCCTGAGGCATCTCACACGTGTTAGAGCTAACGCAGCACGTGGCAATGATCTGAATGATCAGAAGATAACATGGAAACAACAGAGTAAATCCTTAAACACGTACAATCACGGAGTTTTAATAAGTAAGTTCTTGGAAGTTATAAATCGTACTCTAACTCATAGCATGAAATAGTTTGTGAACCAGGAAAATCACCATCATTTGAAGAGATGTAAATAACTAATCTCTAAATTGCTGGGGTCCAACCCCAGAGGGTTCAGGGGTCCCCAAAGGTGTGGACGGAGTCGGCGAAGAAGGAATGACATGGAGACAGCGTTCAGTTGATCAGCAGGCTAGCCAGGATCTCCAGCCAAGTTCTGGTCTGGATCTCCAGAGAGGTTCTGCTTAGGATCTCCTGCCAGGGTCTGTGTCCATGTTCTCTTGCTAGGTTCTCCAGGTTCTCCAGCCAGGTTCTGTAGCCATGTTCCCTCGCTAGGTTCTCCAGCCAGGTTCTGTCCAGGTTCTCCAGCCAGGTTCAGTCACCAGGTTCTAGTCAGGTTCTCTTGCCAATTTCTGTAGTCAGGTTCAGTCCAGGATCTTTTGCCATGCTCTCTCCAGCGAAGTTCTTCTGTCTGTAGGTTCTGTCTTCTTAGTTCTGTGTTCTAAGCTCTGTATTCTAAGTTCTGTGTTCTAAGTTCTGTGTCTTGCTGTCTTGTCACATCTGTATTTATACCAGTTGATTCAATCCTATCAATCTCTATTACAAAGGTTAGGGCGTTTCTTATCTCCATTCCAGGGAGTAAAGATTATGTAGCTTAAGCATGATTGTTCGTAGTTAAAGTGATTAATTACCCGCCTGGCACTTAGTTGAGGGGTTTTATTCCCTCCCTAACTTCAGGGGAAAATCCCTACCTGGGGAAACAACCTTTCTCAGAGACCTTGGTTAAAACACATAGTGCCAAGAAGGTGAGCAAACATATTAAGAACAGTATGCCATATATGCCAGGTCCTTTGAAACAGCAAGGATGGACCAGCTCCCGGCACTAAATAATTAAATTAACATTTATTTGGTATTCAAACCATCCCTCCAGCTTGGATTATTTTGTTATTTACATTATAGCAGACTTCGGTAATTATTGGGGAACATACACATTCACCTGGTTCAATAGGGCTTCCCCATGACCTCTGGCCTGTTGACCTCTGTTAAAGGGCAATGGAAGGAGTCCTCGAAGCCGCATCCCTAACCCTGTCCTCGGCTGGCTGGTCCCTGAAGCAGCTCTCCCTGTGCAATGAGGACGTGCCTCCCGCCTCCCAGTGCCATGGGCATTCAGCTCCTTTCTGAGACGCAGACCGGAAGACCGAACCTGTGTGCTGGGGCCTTGCCAGCTGCCACCAGACAGCGGCCCCGGCTTTGGACCCAGCTCCTCTAGTCTCTACTTGCGGCTGTGGGAACTTTCTATCAGACTGAGGCCAGTTTGCTCATCTGTGAAATGGGGCCCCATGCACCCACCACATACAGAGCTGTAAGGTCACTGAGCCGGGAGCCGCAGAGCACTGACCACTGAGCTGCAGTGGCACAGATGCCCCAAGGCTGGTGTTCTCCCCTCCCGTCCGTGAAAAAGCAAGAAAACACAGTTCCAAAGAAACAGACCCAGGAGCAGGGCGCTCTGCAGGCAAACTGGGAGGGGGGAGCCTGTTCTCCGTAGGTCCTACTTCCCTCTTGCCTTCTTTTACTTTCCCTGCCACCCAGCCTCAGGACCCCGTGCTCCGTGTCGGGTGCGTCTATCCCTGTGTGGGAAGGAGACCTGGTTCCCAGGACGGAGGTGGGAGCCCAGGGGAGAGAAGGAAGGAGCAGAGGCTGCGCTGTTGCCCCACACAGGCCGACACCTGCCACGCTCAGGTGCGTCGCTGATCCTGGCGAGGACCCAGCTGCAGGTGCACCAGCAGGAGGCGGGGCCGGCGGCAGGAAGGGGCGGGGCCTCAGCAGGGAGGGCCGGGGCCGCAGCAGGGAGGGCGGGGCCGCAGCAGGGAGGGCGGGGCCGCAGCAGGGAGGGCGGGGCCGGCAGCAGCATAAACACAGGTGGGAGACCCAGGGGCCAGGAGGAAGGGCTGGAGGAGGCGCGGGGAAGTGAGGCAGCAGATCAGGTAACAGCAAGGAGCAGGACAAAACATTTACTTAAGAAACCGTGCGTTCATGCTTTTAAAGTGCTGCTCTCCTTCCTTAGGAAGGCTTAGCCGTCCACGTCGGTCGGAGTGACCCTGGCTTGAACGTGGGCAGCAGTTTGAAGCTGCCCAGGTGCCCCACAGGCAGGGAGGGGTTGAGAGAAGGCCTCACAGGTGATCTCAGCTCGCGCTTTGGGGGACACAGCAGACACTGAATTCTATGACACACGCTCTGCGGCACAACGGTTTTGTGCATGGATGTCTACGCTTTTATGAATGACGAGCATCACACTTTTCAGCAAGATAATTATTCAAAACAAAGCCAAAAAGGCTTCTTAAACTTAATTATTCACAGAATAAAACACATAAACCAACGTTTACAAATGGGCATGCATTTCTGGCCATCCCCTCCCCACCAGGTATTTCCTCAGGAGGATATGGACTGGAAATCACAGAATTTGCTTTCCCCGGGTCACTATCCCAGCTACTACACTCGCCACGCCTGTGACCAGTGGAGCCACGCAGTGCCAGTGGCTGCGGACGAGGTCTGCAGAGCGCGCTTCGGGGCTGCTCACTCACAAAGCACCTTGGGACACTGGATTACAGCCAGGAACGGTCCAAACGACTTCAAGCATATTTGGCTGAGAAAATGGTAAATATTTCTGAAATACATTAAACTTGTTCTTAAGTATTAAAAGAAATAATGCAGGTTCATTCAGCCTAAAATGCTAATTTCATGTATCTCAGTGCACATAACAAAATATACATTTTTATTTGTTCCTTTTTATTGAATTTATTGGGTGACACTGGCTAACAAAATTCTATGGGTTTCAGGTGTACAATTCTACAACACATCAGGAACCAGTAGAATTTTGGAGCGCATTCTGCTAAGTGAAATAAGACACTGTATTGTGTGATCTCCACCCCCAGTCAAATCTCTGTCCATCACCACTTATCCCCTATGCCCTCCTCCACACCCCATCCACTCCCAGTCATCACCACCCTGCTGTTTTCTCTTTTTTCTATTTTCTTCTTCTTTGCTCAATTCCTCCAACCCTCCCCGCCCAACCCTCCCTCTGAAGCTGTCAGCCTGCTCTCTATGAGTCTGTCTCTATATTGTTTGTTCATTTTGTTCATTAGAATCCAAAGGAGTGAAGTCATATGGTACTTGTCTTTCTCCGATTGTCTTATTTCACTTAGCATAATGCACTCTAGGTCCATCCATGCTGTTGCAAAGGGCAAAATTTCCTTCTTTTTATAGCTGAGTAGTATTTCATTATGTATAAATTCCCAGAAGTGGAATTGCTGGGTCATAAGGCAGTTCCATTTTTAATATTTTGAGGTAATTCTATTCTGCTTTCCACAGTGGCTGCACCAGTCTGCATTCCCACCAACAGTGCATGAGTGTTCTCTTTTCTCCACATCCTCACCAACACTTGTTGTTAGTTGAGTTATTGATGATAGCCATTCTGGCAGGTGTGAGATGATATCTTATTGTGGTTTTAATTTGCATTTCTGATGATTAGTGATATTGGGCATCGTTTCATATGTTTATTGGCCATCTGTATGTCCTCCTTGGAGAAATGTCTATTCAGATCCTTTGCCCACTTTTTAATTGGATTGTTTGTTTTTCTGGTGTTGAGTTTTATAAATTCTTAATAAATGTTGGATATTAACCCCATATCATTGGCAAATATGTTCTTCCATTCAGTGGTTGTCTTTTCATTTTGTTGATAGTTTACTTTGTT